GCGTGATTGGGGAAATTTGTTTCCTTCCTTTTTTTTTTTTTTCTTTATTAAGGGCTAAGAGAAGTTTAGAGAAGGAGCAATCTGGGAAGAGCTGTGAAACAAATGGTCTCATAGGATTATAGGAGAGTTCTTTTCTATCAATGCTGGCGGTGTATTTCCCTATTCATTCCCCTACTTTTATAAATAAAAAAATAACAAAATGCTTCAAACATACAGAAAAGTACAAAGACTAATATAGCAAATATCACCACCCAGATTCTATGGATCTTAAAAAAATCTCATTTTTTTTTAAAGATTTTATTTATTTATTTGAGAGAGAGAGAGAGAGAATGAGAGATAGAGAGCATGAGAGGGAAGAGGGTCAGAGGGAGAAGCAGACTCCCCGCCGAGCAGGGAGTCTGATGCGGGACTCGATCCCGGGACTCCAGGATCATGACCTGAGCCGAAGGCAGTCGCTTAACCGACTGAGCCACCCAGGCGCCCCCCAAAAATCTCATTTTTTAAAGAAAAGAAATAAAACATTACAGATATGATGGAAAGCTTATTTCTACCTTTTTTTTTTTAAAGATTTTATTTATTTATTTGAGAGAGAGGGAGAGAGCGCACAAGCAGAGGGAGAGAGAGAAGCAGACTTCTTGCTGAGCAGGGAGCCCGAACCGGGGCTCAATCCCAGGACTCTGGGATCATGACCTGAGCTGAAGGCAGATGCTTAACTGACTGAACCACCCAGGCGCCCCTATTTCTACCTTTCTTGACTCTGTTCTTAAAAGTTATACATGTCTTAAACTTGATATGTTTTCTTCTGTCTGTTTTTATATTTTTACTACTTATATATGTATATTTATATACCAATAGAGAATATAATGTGTTTTAAAATTTCTGCTCCCCCCACTTTTGAAACTTACAAGAAAAATGGAACAATGGTATTTAAGAAAATCTGGAGTGGAAAAGCACCCATAATCCTATGACTCTAATTCAGATATTTCATATTGTGTCCTTGCCCGTATGTGTTTTCTTTTACAGAATTGCAATCAGTATGTGCATACCATTTTGTCATCTTTCTTCCCCATCTTAGCATCAAACTGTATACATTTTCCCATGTTTCCATCTTCATAATTATTATTTTGGGGGGATGTGGAACTTAATGTTTGACATAATTTTCAGCAAGACATTTAGAAATCCTCTGGTGGAAAATGGCCAACAGACACATGAAAAAGTGCTCAACGTCGCTTGGCATCAGGGAAATCCAAATCAAAAACTCAATGGCAGATGTAGGAAATGACAGATGTTGGCGGGGATGCAGAGAAAGGGGAACCCTCCTACACTGTTGGTGGGAATGCAAGCTGGTGCAGCCACTCTGGAAAACAGTATGGAGGTTCCTCAAAAAGTTGAAAATAGAGCTACCATACGATCCAGCAATTGCACTACTGGGCATTTACCACAAAGATACAAATGTAGGGATCCGAAGGGGTACGTGCACCCCGATGTTTATAGCAGCAATGTCCACAATAGCCAAACTGTGGAAAGAGCCAAGATGTCCATCGACAGATGAATGGACAAAGAAGATGTGGTATATATATACAATGGAATATTATGCAGCCATCGAAAGGAATGAGATCTTGCCATTTGCAACGACGTGGATGGAACTGGAGGGTGTTATGCTGAGCGAAATAAGTCAATCAGAGAAAGACATGTATCATATGACCTCACTGATAGGAGGAATTCTTAATCTCAGGAAACAAACTGAGGGTTGCTGGAGTGGTGGGGGGTGGGAGGGTTGGGGTGGCTGGGTGATAGACATTGGGGAGGGTATGTGCTATGGTGAGCGCTGTGAATTGTGCAAGACTGAATAACAGATCTGTACCTCTGAAACAAATAATGCAATATATGTTAAGAAAAAAAGAAAAGAAGAAGATAGCAGGAGGGGAAGAATGAAGGCGGGGAAACTGGAGGGGGAGACGAACCATGAGAGATGAGAGACTCTGAAAAACAAACTGAGGGTTCTAGATGGGAGGGGGGTGGGAGGATGGGTTAGCCTGGTGATGCGTATTAAAGAGGGCATGTTCTGCATGGAGCACTGGATGTTATGCACAAACAATGAATCATGTAACACTACATCAAAAACTAATGATGTGATATATGGTGATTAACATAACAATAAAAAATTTAAAGAAAAAAAAAAAGAAATCCTCTGGTGGACCAAAAGCTCTCAACAGTGGTCACCTTTGGTCTGAGTGATGGAAGTAGGAACATTTTTACTTTTCAGCGTATAACTTTCTGTGCTGCTTTTTTTCAACTATACCCATAAGTTATTTTATTTTAGAAGTAAGTAAAAAAATGTTTTTTTAATGATAAAAGATCTCGCTGTCTGCAGAAAATATTCCAGAAAAGAGAACTCTTACCTTTTAGTGTTGTTGGAAAGTCACTGGACTTGGAGACAAAGAACCGGATTTTAGCTCTTGAGCTTGTCATTAATTTTGTCTTTCTCATCTGTAGAGTAGAGACAATATATTTGTCCTATTACCTTGTTTTGGGGATCAAAACAATGAATGTACCTGAAAACATTTGGTAAACTATAAAATTCCCTGGATATGGTGGGAAAAAAAAACTTAGTGAAGCAGATAAAGTTTGGGCCCCTAGGATTCAAAGACTAATGTCAGAGCACCTGGGCTAATGTGAGCTTAGGTATGGCACAGTATCCTGAGGCACTTCTGCTGGCTTTCAGAGTTCTAAGGGCAGAATTTACTCCTGAGGTTAGAAGTGTAATCAATAAAGGGGCCCCTTCAACTGAAATAACTATGTGATGATAAAGAGGCATGGGAGCAGAGGGTCCAGCATTATGAATACTCATCACAATTCCAATGGCTCAGTGTGCAGAGTCAGGAAGGAGTGGCCATTTCACCCTTAGCAAGGCTGATGTGCAGCTGGGGGCTCTTTCTTCTTTGGCTTTAGAGGATAGGATGGAACAGGTCCAGGACCTGGGAGGGGAATGTTTTCTTTGGCTGCAGGACTTCCCCACTTCCAGCCACTGAGAATCATAAGCACTCAGAGTCAGAGCTTCTTACTTTAAAGATGAGACATGGAGACATGGAGAGGTGAAATGTTTTATCCAAGGTCACTCAGGCCTATAATCACAGCACTGGTGTTAAAACCCAGGTCCTCTGACCACTAGCCCTTGGGTGGTCTCTTTCTAAGTCACCATTCTCTCCTTACCTTCTGACTCTGCATCTCCTCCTCCACCAGGAAAGACAATGATATTAAGTACCCTGGAGCTAGGGAATCTGCAGGGGAGCTAAGGCAGCAATCCTTAGGAGACCCATCTTGGGAGAGGGAGTTGTGCATTAGCACATAAGCTTGGAGCTGGTGTGAGACAATCTCTCTGCCAACTAATAGCGGCAGGGAATAGCAGATTTGACTGGTGGGTAGCTGAGCCACTGGAGGGCCCCAAGGAGCTGTAAGGAGGTGGAGGTGGGGAAGCTAAGATTGGAGAGGAGATGCAAGGGCACCGTTCCCTGGGTTATGACTAGGTGGCCCATTACACACCCTGAAATATAGTAGGTTTTATGCAGTGAAATAGCTCATGCATTGCATCTAGGGGACGTCTAGTTTCTTTCACACCTAGCAATTTGAAAATAAAAGATTTACCATGATCATCCCTTAATACTACCCATCCTGGTAGTATTTTGGAACTGCCGTGAAAATTCATTTTGGGTGACTCTGGTACTCTCTGTTTGGTTTAAATTAGCCACTGCACCATCCTGCCAGGTAGAAGGTTTTTTTTTTTTTTTTTGGTTTGTTTTTTATGGGGCTAATGAGGCAGGTAGGAGAAAGAGAACTGCATCAAGAACATAACTGGTGAATTTGGGAGTGAAGAGGGAGCACTTCTCCCTAAAGTTTCATGATATAATCTAGATAAAGCCACCTAGAAACAAGCCTGCCATGCAAAAGATAATTGGTGATGTTCTGGTTGTGTTTGAGTCAAGGTGGACTCCATCTGGGCTGAGAAGATAAAACTACGATGTTGCTAAAGTTTCTCTCCACTCTGGAGTATGGGTGGGGTTTCCCTCTCATGGACTCTTTAGTACTTGCTTTTGGGAATAGATCTGATAAACGTTTGCACACTGAGGTGTAAATGATAGAGAATAGCTTAGATCAGCAGTCTACAGGTGGGTTGGGAGGAACCTCAAGGTGTTAATAGTTATTCCTTGGCAAACAAAGTTCTATAGTTAAATAAGTTTGTGAAGGGTCATTTACCACATTCCCCTCCTGGGGATTCACAGTACATACTATATATTAAAGGCTCAGGGAAGTTGTGTGGTGAGGAAACTGTCTTAACTTCACTTAATCCAGCACTTCACAGATCTCTGACTAGGGAATCCTTTTTTCCCCCCAAGGGATATCTATTATCATCTTGAATAAAGCTTGTTGAGAAACTTAGGAATAGAGCATGACTCTGAGGTGTTTGTGTTTTTATTTTATTTTGTTGTGGTAAGAACACTCAACATGCCATCTATCAAAATTTTGACAGATTTTAAGTGTCAAATACATTATTGTTGACTATAGGCACAATGTTGTGTGGCAGATCTCTAGAGCTTACTCATCTTACTTAACTGAAACTTTATGCCTGTTGATTAATAACTCCCCATTTCCTTCTCCCCTCAGCCCCTGGTAATCACCATTCTAGTCTTTGATTATACAAATTTGAGTGTTTTAGATACTTCATATATGTGGAATTGTGCAGTACTTGTCTTTCATATTCTTACCCGGGGATAAAAATATGAACCTTTAATTGAGGGATTTTAACCAAAGGGCAAGGGGGGTGTGGGCCAACATTGGGCCAGAAATCACAGGCATTGACATTACTCAGGAGACACCTTCTGCTACCCACTCCAAGTTTGCCTCCTTGTCTCTGCAGCTGAAATGCCTCAGCCAGGCCCTGGGTGCAACCTGCAGTCAGCTGGCCTCCTTCACCCCTAACTCTGCCTCTTCTCTTCTTCCAGGCAGACATCTTCTCTGGGGCCATATTTATCAACTTGGCCATGGGTCTGGATCTGTACCTGGCCATCTGTCTCTTATTGGCAATCACTGGCCTTTACACAATCACAGGTGAGTCCATACAAATGACTCAGCCGAAGCCCAGGAAAGGAGGAGGAAGTAGGAGACAAAGGTCCTCTCGAGGAGGAGAGATACACCTAGGAAACAGTTTTAGAATTGAGTGTTTGCTTAGTCCCAAAGCTCAGACCCTAACAAGTGATATGGGAGTCCCAGAAAACTCCAGTGTTGGCTGGAATAGTTAGTGTAGCTTCTTCTAGGAAGTGGGGCAGGGACTGGCCTTCCAGGTTGTGGATAGAAGTTGGCTGAGTTGGGAGAATCAGGGAGGGGCTACCAGGTGCAGGGATGGGGAGAGCAAGGGAATGGAGTCAGGAATGGGGATGGCATGGGGCTGGGGCAGGGTGAGCAAGCAGATGCGTTTGGCTGGAGAAGGGTGGTCAATGGGAGGTAGTTGAGGTGTGTGTGGAGTGATAAGCCCTGATAGTTCAAAAGAGGTCACAGTGCAGGGGGCTTGGAAGCCAGAAGGAGGCCTTGGATTTGATGTGATAGGCACTGGAAGGAGTGACACAAAAAAGAGATTTTAGAGGAAGACTCGAGAGGTGACTGGAGAAGCTGATGACAGGAACAGTTGGGGACACCTTTGCAGAGGTGTTACAGTGTTCCCGATAGGGGAGCCAGGGTCAGCAATGGAATTTGGAGACAAGAAGTTACACAGCTTTGGGGACAAGAAGTTACTTAGATGGTCTGAGTAAAGAGAGAGCAGGTGTGCATGGAAGTAGCCCTTCAAAATGTGCAGATTTGGTAACACCCAAACACCTTGTAGAGATGTTAACTCTTTGCTCTTCCGTGCCTTTGTTTGTGGGAGACAGTTCTTACCACAGCCATTTCCTTTGCACCATCTTCTGCCTTCAGTCACATCAAACTCTTCCTTCTCAAATAGGGAGAAACTTTCTCCTTTTTCCAAGGTCTTCCTAGCATTTCTGTGAGAAGTAGAGGTGTGGGAACATGTTCGGTAATAGATTGCTATAACAAGACAAGGGAGGGAAGGAAGGAAAGGCAGACAGGTGACTGAGGGGTGTTCTCAGAGGATGTGCAGAGGGAAAGGGGCAGGGATTGGGCAAAGGAGGTAGGCTGGACCACACAGACAGGTGGTCCTCCTACGTTAGGTCACATGTATTATTTTCTTTGCCTGTTTAGGGGGCCTGGCGGCTGTGATTTACACCGACACTTTGCAGACGGCGATCATGCTGGTGGGGTCTTTCATCCTGACTGGGTTTGGTAAGTGGGGCTGGGGCAGGCTGAGGAGGCAGGGAGGCAGAGGAAGAGGCCTAGGGAGAAAAAAATCAATCTAACCTCCCTGCCTGCTGCTGGCCCAGGCAGTGAGCTGGGTGTCCTCTGCCCTCCCCAGGGGAGTGGTCCAGCCTGAATTGGCCACCACAGTGGGTGTGCAGGGGCACCTTCCTCAGCCCTGGAGATCTCAGGCTGGGCCTGCTCTCCACTGAGAAACTGGACAAACAAAGGGATACATCTAAATATCCATCAGGCTAAATATATTCAATGTTGTATCTTAAACCTCAGATTACATCTTGCCTATATTTGATGTTAAATGTCCTTTATTTTATGAATTGATGATAGTAAGTGATCATTTTCTTGTTTATGTCCTTATTTGACAAAATTTAAAAAACTAGCCTGTCTATGTTGGCCCCTGACCCCAATTTTGAAATTTTATTTGTCTGTAAAATCCTAAAGACAAGACTGGAGACCCTAGATCTAGAGGTACTTGTTATGGGAGAATATAAAATGCATTTTTAAGAGGGCCCATACTTTCTGTGTGTCCTGTGAAGCCTCTCTATTCTCTGTGTCCAAGAGCTTCCATTTGTTTTTCCCTAGTGGTGGTGGTAGTGGTGGCGGGGTCTGCAGGGCAGAAGCTAGAATGCCTTATTCAAGGACACACGGCAAAGAGGTTGTTGGGCTCCAGACTCCTTACCCTTTCTTTCTCTGTCCATCCTACCACATTGTTGTGACCAGGGATGGTATGGCTGACTCTGTGGGTCTCTAGGTCTTTGTGCAGGATTTTAAAGGCTGCTGCTGACAGCAAAGGGTGAGGGGGAAACGTCTTTGAATCTTTAAAACCAAGGTCTTTCTGGGCGCCTGGGTGGCTCAGTTGGTTGCGCGACTGCCTTCCGCTCAGGTCATGATCCTGGAGTCCCGGGATCGAGTCCCACATCGGGCTCCCTGCTCAGCGGGGAGTCTGCTTCTCCCTCTGGCCCTCCCTCCTCTCATGTGCTCTCTCTCTCTCTCTCATTCTCATTCTCTCAAAATAAATAAAAATAAATCTTTAAAACCAAGGTCTTTCTTTTAATAAGTCCAAGTACTTTCCCTTTTTCTTTTCTTTTCTCTTTTTTTAAGATTTTATTTATTTATTTGAGAGAGAGAGAATGAGAGATAGAGAGCATGAGAGGGAAGAGGGTCAGAGGGAGAAGCAGACTCCCCGCCGAGCAGGGAGTCTGATGAACCGGGGCTCAATCCCAGGACTCTGGGATCATGACCTGAGCTGAAGGCAGATGCTTAACTGACTGAACCACCCAGGCGCCCCTATTTCTACCTTTCTTGACTCTGTTCTTAAAAGTTATACATGTCTTAAACTTGATATGTTTTCTTCTGTCTGTTTTTATATTTTTACTACTTATATATGTATATTTATATACCAATAGAGAATATAATGTGTTTTAAAATTTCTGCTCCCCCCACTTTTGAAACTTACAAGAAAAATGGAACAATGGTATTTAAGAAAATCTGGAGTGGAAAAGCACCCATAATCCTATGACTCTAATTCAGATATTTCATATTGTGTCCTTGCCCGTATGTGTTTTCTTTTACAGAATTGCAATCAGTATGTGCATACCATTTTGTCATCTTTCTTCCCCATCTTAGCATCAAACTGTATACATTTTCCCATGTTTCCATCTTCATAATTATTATTTTGGGGGGATGTGGAACTTAATGTTTGACATAATTTTCAGCAAGACATTTAGAAATCCTCTGGTGGAAAATGGCCAACAGACACATGAAAAAGTGCTCAACGTCGCTTGGCATCAGGGAAATCCAAATCAAAAACTCAATGGCAGATGTAGGAAATGACAGATGTTGGCGGGGATGCAGAGAAAGGGGAACCCTCC